CACCGGATCGTTGGACTCCGATGAATGAAGTTGACATTGACATAGATCAAGATGAGAAGAGGTGGTACTTGTAGAAAAGGTTCTAGTCGAAGTTGAACTGGTATGAGATTGATGACAGATTGAAGAAGATTCAGGTGAAGTCCAACAGAGCGATTTAGTTAATTCAAGTTGATGATTTAACAAGGTGGATTTATTGAGAAGAGGTGAAGGAGGAGTTGAGAGTGAATGATGATGATGATGATGATGATGATGTTTGGTTGATCGAGTTGAATGATGAAAATGATTTAATGATTGAGTTGGATTGGATGAATGTAATGGAACGCGTTGGAATGGTTGAGTAAGTTGATCAGATTGAAATGATTGATGAAGATGAGAATCTGATCGAGAGTTAAGAAAGTCAAGTGTTAGGTTGGGTTTCGATCGACGATTGGAAAGTGTCTTGAAATGTTCTTGATTTGAATCTTGATGAAACTCTGAAATGGTTTGAAGTGAAATGGTACGTGATCTAGGTAAAGAATCCTGATTGTCTGTTTGAGTTCCAATGGTGATTAAGATCGGTTTGGTTGGTCCGCTAGTTGAAGTAGATTGATTCTTGGTTAAATTCAAAGTGGTGTTTGGATTCAACTTTTGTTTCTGTTTTCGTTTTCTCGAGTTTGAATTGAGATTAGGTGTAGGTGTTGTTGATGTTGATGAATTGGATTGAATGATTGATTCTGATTCTGATTCTGATTCTGATTTAGAATGGTATGAATTGATCCAAGTTTTGATTTGATTGAAATGTTTCAAGATGAATGAAGTGGTGATTGTTTTGATCGTAGTTGAATTTTTGGGGATGAAAATGGTAATGATTGTCCTGAATTGATTGATGATGTGTTTCTTCTGATTGTTCGTGGTAGTAGTAGTAGTACAAGTTGATGATGAGATGGTTTGATGATGATGAGGGGGTTTAAATGATTTAGATTGAAGATGAGCCTGAGATGATTTGATTAATTTTAATTTTGAATTTCTTTTGTTTTTTGAATTAGAGAGACTATTAGAAAATGATTTGAAAGATAAAGAGAAATGAAGAAAACGTAAAGAGATCCAAAAGATTAAGAAATTGATAAAGATTAAAGAGATCATTAGAGTGATGAATTCAAGATAAGTTGAAGTTTGAAGATTAGTTAGATCAAGTTCTAAGAAATGATGATAACTTGGCGCTTTCAACTTCCTAATCAATGAAGATGAAGAAGATTTTAACATGATGATGATAGAAGACTAAGAAATGATAGGAATGAATGATCAAAATGATGGTGATAAAGTTGATTTTTGATTTTGATTGTTCAGTTGGTTGGTTCGTTGATGATGATGATGAAGAATGAGAAGAGTAAAAGTAAAGAAGAATTGATGATGAATCGATTAAAAGGGCAAACAGTAGTGAAGTTAGTTAAAGGGTGTTGTTTAAGGGTCAAAAAGGTACAGAACAGCAATCAGGTAATAAAGTAGTACAACAATGTATTCTGATTAAATTCAATTTCAAATCAATTCAATTCACTTTCTCATCGACTTTGATTTGAATTACATATCATCACAACTTTAATTTTAATTTTATCTCATCCACTCTCAGTCTCAATGAATTCAAAGAAGTGTTGTGGGTCACATGACTGACACGACTGCGGGCACAGCCATTTCTCACGATCCATCTAACAAAACTCTTTCACGTTGTATCTGAAGTTCCACATCACTTGTGGAACCCAGTTTGTTGTTTCTTAAGCTTATGCGTCATTGTATTCCATGTTCTTCACTTTAAGAAGATGTTCTCTTCAATCATAGCTGTGTGACATGTGCAACCAACTGCAACCGACTGCGTACCTTCCAGAAAACCTGCAGTGATTTTCGCTCGCACATCATCACACATGACTCGAAAATCGAAATCGTCATTCGATGATCCCCCCAAGTGTGTCATCAACCCTCCACACGCATTTTTGAACATACTTCTGTGGTGCAAAGAAACGTGCGCATTCTTCTAAACGACTAAGGTATGGCTTTTGGGTTTGAGAAGATGTTAAAACTTCATAGGTTATAGAACGTTTGGTTGCGTGTATTTTTTTGGTGATTATTTTGAAGACATTGTAATAGTAAGGGCCCGATCGGTTGCCGTCAACCTCGCAGGCGTACGCCTTGCAAGCGTACGCTCGCGCATGCGCAGGTTGACGACGTCTGCCTCGCAGGTTGACTCAGAGATTGGGCTGTTCGGTAGCCCAAAGTCGACCCCATGAAACCCAAAGATCATGGGTTTCATGAAGGGATGATTCATGTACATAGAAATGTTTTGTGCAAAACATCAATTGAAAATTGATTGATCCTTGATCTCGTCCATTCGCATCGCTCAACACTCAAAACTTCATCTCATCGAAATTAAAAGCATAGGTCGTACAACCATCACTCAGTTGCATCCAGGATGTCACTTATTCGGGCAGAGCAACACGCTCGAAGACGACTCCTTGTCTCGGCAGCCTTTGGTGCTGCTCAATACTACACCTCATATTTACAACGTAGACCACCAACTGTACGGAACAACTCTGTTCTCTCCGGACAACAATGGCTGAACGAGCTTTTGGAATCAAGCAATCCGCGCCGTTTTTACGATCAGCTGGGCATGAAGCCTCACGTCTTCCTCAAATTGGTGGATGATCTGGAAAGCAGAGGGCTTCTTCAAGATACAAAACATATGACTGTTCAAGAGCAGTTAGCTAATCTTTCTATTCACCATCATCACCGGGAACTCTGTCCGCAAAATTGAGGAGCGCTTTCAAAGATCCC